TTCGGTTCTATTGGTGTGTCTGCTGGCCTGCACCCCATCATGCCTGTTTCTTCTAGGAGATCTAGCACATATTTTCGTTGACATATGTAGATTCCTTCTCTTGATCTAGCAACTTCAATCCCGAGAAAATATCTTAGATTTCCCAGGTCCTTGATCTCAAATTCTGAAGCTAAGAACTCCTTCAGCCTCTTCATCTCTTTCACATCATTTCTAGTGATCACCATATCATCCACATAGACAATGAGAGCAGTAAGTTTTTCATTCTGTCTCCTTGTAAACAATATATGATCCGCACTGCTCTGAGTGTACCCCACTTTCTTCATGGCCGTACAAAGTCTCTCAAACCATGCCCGGGGAGATTGCTTCAAGCAATACAAAGCTTTCCTTAGTTTACACACCTTCTTTCCAACATTATATCTAGGTGGGGGTTCCATGAAAACCTCTTCATGTAGATCACCATTTAGGAAAGCATTCTTCACATCCAGCTGATGAAGTTCCCAAGAGAATTTTGCAGTTAATGACAGTAGAACCCTGATTGTGTTGAGATTTGCTACCGGGGCAAAGGTTTCCTTGTAGTCAATTCCTTTCTTTTGTGTAAATCCCTTTGCCACAAGTCTGGCCTTGTATCTTTCAATTGACCCATCTTCCTTGTGTTTTACTGTGAATACCCACTTGCACCCAATAGTGCCTTTCCCTTCTGGTAGGTCCATCAATTCCCACATTCTTGCTTTCATTAGGGCTTTCATCTCTTCATTCATGGCTTCTTTCCACCTTGGATCAGATACCGCCTCTGAATATCTAGAAGGGACACATACAGAGGAAAGAGCAGACACAAAGGAATGATAGGCAGGTGATAAATGTGAGTAAGAGACATAATCAGCTATGGAATGCCGAGTGGTACAAGAACGAACAGGCTTACGGAGAGCAATGGGAAGATCCAAATCTGAATTGAGAGTTAGAATTACCTTAGATTGCAGAGACAGATTGATCTGAGTCCAACTGGTTGCAATCATGAGGTTGAGGGCCCTTTTCTTCTACTGTATGTAAGTATCTCTTTCTCTTGGTTGCTGGAATCATCAGGAACATCAGCTGAAGCTGGAGATGTAACTGGCACAGCGGGAGTCTCACTAGGTCGACCCGGAATGTTACAACTAGGAGTAGTGGAAGGTGATGAAAGGGGAACAAAAATGGAGAATGAGAATCCTCTTCCATCCCACTAGTCTCCCCCTGAAGAGGATTCTGAGAAGATT